TTAATTCAGATTTATCTTTTTTAATAAATTTATAATATTAAAACTATATATAATATTAATAATTAAAATACTTAATACTAAATTTATTATATATTACTTATAATAAAATTTAAAGCTATTTTTTTTTACTTCTTATTTTTAGTTAAATTAATATAATTTAATACTAATATTATTATTACTTCTTTTTTTCTTAGTAATTTTACTAAAAATAAATAATTTTATATTATTATTATATATCTTTTAATTTTTTAATATTTCTATTTTTTTTATTTTTTTTATATCTTAAAAAATTTTTATATTATTATAAAATTAAAAAAAATAATAAAAACTTATTTTTAAAATAAATAATTAAAAAATAAAATATTTTTTTATATTATATATTTAGTTAAAGATATGATATAATTTATTTTAATTAGAAATATTTTACTTAAATTAATAATAAAATTACTAATTTTTTTTTGAAAAATTAATATAAAATAAATAATAAAAATAAAGTAAATTTATAATATATAATAATTAATATATTTAATATAAAAATATAAGTAATTTTAATATAATAATAATTAAAAGAGACTGAATTTATTAATAAATAAAATTTATTAATTATAGTTTAATATATATATTTTTTAGATTTTTTTAAGAGTTATTCTAATTATAAAATTAATACAAAAATTTTTATTAATTGAAAATAAAATTTAATTAATAAAAATTTTTATATTAACTTTATAATTAGAATAGTTCTTTTAGAAAAAATCTAAAAAAGTTGAAAAAAATATATATAAATTATAACTAATAAACTTTATTTTGATATAAAAATAAAAATTATTTTTTAATAAATTTATAAATTTAAAATAAAGAGAAAATTTTGATTTTCACTATATTTTATTAATAAATTTAGTTTCTAATATATTATTTTTAACTATTACTATATATATTATTAAGTTATAATTTTCTAATTTAATATATAATTAAGAAAAATTAAAATCTTATAAATATAATTTTTTAATTAAAAATATCTTAAATATATTATTTAAATAAATTATTAAATTATTTTCTAAATAATATAATATATTATATAAAGACAATTCTGTTATACTAAAGTAATTGATGCTATTAATAAAAATTTTAAAAATTTAATTTATTTGAGATTTCATTAGTAAATTCGATTTAATAGAGAGAATAGATTTAATATAACTAATTCTAGAGTTATCTTTAGTTATAATTAGTACTTTAGTTAAATAAAATTTATTATAATGGAATTATCTTTATAATTAGAATTGATTTTTGAATAATTTTAAATAATTTAAACAAAAATATATTAGTAATTTAATTATATAAATATTTAAATAATATTTTTAGATTGATTTAAAAAATTAATTTTGATTATAATAAATTTGTTTATTAAATTAAATTTATTTTTTAATAAAAATTCAAGACTTTTTGATATTACTTTATATTTATATTATAAAATTATTATTAATATTATTAATAAATTAATAAATATAGATACTAATTTAATATTTAAATAATAACTTAATAAAATAAAACAAAATTAAAGTTATTAATATTATAGTATTATTTTAAATATAATATAACTTATATGAATTTTTTTTAAAAATAATTATTTATAATAATATGTAATTTTTAACTAAATTATATAAATTATCTTATTATTTATTAAAATTTTTATATATAAATAAAAGACTATTATTAAAAAGTTATTATATAAAATTATATTAATAAAAAGAATAATTATTTATAAAGTATAAATATTATCTTATTTATTTTTTAAATTAATAAACTTCATATTAATTATAAGAAAGCTTATTTGATTTAGATTATCTTTAATAATATAGAATTATAAATAAAAATTATCTTTTATAATATTATTTTATATAGATATTATAAGTAATTTAAGTTTTCTTAACTTATAAATATTAAATAAAAACTTCTCAAGTTAAAATAAAATAGTTTAATATAATTTAAAAAATTTAAATAAATATATTTAAATATAAAATATTATAGGTTTAAAAAGTTAATATTTTAAAATTATTATTATTTATTAATTAGAAATCTTTTAGATAAAACTAATTTTTATAAATAATTTGTAATTATTTTTATGTGATCTATATTTGGAATAATCAAATTTTATAATTTATACTGATTTATAAATATAATTCTTGAAATAAAATATAAAAAAAAATATGAAATAAAAGTCAAAATCTGAATTAAAGTCCTAATAAAAATGTCAGGAAGACAATTTTACAAGTTTATGTCTTATTTCTAAGTTTAACTTCAATATTGATAACAAAATTATTACTAATTTATATATAATTTGTGTATTTTATTAATTTGATATTATATGATTGCAAGTTATAAAAAATATTCTTTAATTTTTTTATTGTTATCCTGATCTTAAAAATCATTGATTGGAGTGCTGAAATTTTTTGAATATTTTAATATTTAATTATTAATAAAAATTTAGTTAATAATATTAAATTTAATAATTATAAAATATTAAATTTGTAATAGCAAAAAACATTTCAATTAAGTTTATACAAAGAAATATTTAGACTGTGAAATCTTTTATTGCTGAAAACATAAAAAATTTGAGTCTTCTAGTTATTAATAATTAAAAGTAATGATTACAGAAATTTGACTTTATTTCAATTAATAATACTAACCTCTTGTTATAGCATTTCATACACAATATGTCATTATTAATACTTATTTATTAATTACATTATTTACAAATTAAAAAGCAGGAATTAGATATTATCATTGATTTTCATAAAGATAACGTAAAAGAATTTATATAAACTGGAATTTATGAGTGTAACAACATGGATAGATCCTTATTGCATTATCAGATTTAATCAAAGATAAGCATCTCGAGTATAGTATCTGTTGATATATTCCGATCTTTCCCAGAATTTGTACCGTGATTAGTTTTGATTGTTGAAATGGACTGAAGTTTGTCCAAAAGTATTTTTTCTTATCATCAGGAATATTTCTGCCGTTTTGAAAATTTTCTCTGACCATTTGCAAGTTGCAGCCAGTCATTTGAACAATTTGCATGACTTCTTTACGATCAACCAAAAAATCAGCAGCAATTGACGAAAGATTAATGAAAAATTCTTGTTCTGCAAGGAGCTGTGTTCCATATTTGCTATTGGAGATTTTTTAAAGTCGGAGGAATCAATAATAGAAAAATTTTTAAAATTATATAATAGAATTTTTAGTTCTATTTTTTAAATTTAATTTAATTAAATATAATTAGATTTGGTCCACTATAGATTATACACATATATAACTTTTTAATATAATTAACAAAAATTAAAATAATATTTTTCAATTTTTGATTGATGATAGCTTCCGCTTCTTCCATTTGCTATCAGCGCAATTATCTGGGGTAGAAGCAGACCTTTTTCCTAATGTAGATGCTGAGGTGCTTGTATGATTTGTGGCTTGATCTGACGGACTTATGTGAAAGAAAACAGCCTTTTTCCCTTTATTCACAATTTGTAACTTATTAGTTACCTTTTTATTCGTCCGTGCACATCCATCATGATAATAATCATCGGCATCATGGTTAGTTAAAAAATGACACCTGGTTCGTTCTGGTGAGGGGGAATCGTCTTCGACGATTGTCTCACATGAACTTAGTGTTTGAGAATCGTTATCATCCTCAAAACTCTTGTCATTCTGGAATTGGTCCATGTTGATTATATCATGAACCGAAGATGATCCATTTTTGGGATCAAATTCATCGTCATCAACAACTTCGTGTGTTGTCTTTGATGTTTGGGATTGCCGTCTATCATTGTTTGGATCATCAGGTAATTTTGGAATAATATGCTTTATAGCATATTCTCGTAAATAATTCCATGAATGTTCATGCAGTCCTGGATAAAATCTATAAATTAAAGACCCGTATAGTCCTTCACCTGCATTTCTTTGAGAGATAAGATAATCGCGAAAAATTTTCACTTCATCTTTAGTAAATGCTTTTGGAGATTCATCATTATCATTTTTATTTGCATCATCATCATCACCGTCAAGAGTAACGGATGATTGTCTTGAAGAGCTTATAGCATTACTCTGTTCTTGACTTTCCCTATAGTTGTTGTACACGGGACGTGTTGGTGTGAATTTAGAGCTTCTTTCCTCTTGTAAGTCGCTGCTACTTCGTATTTGTTTCGTTGTTGAAGCACTCGTTCTTTCATTCGCCATGTTTACGACAACGGAGCGTTCAGGCGGTAAATTTGGCATAATAAATTTTATTGCGTGAGATCTAATAGATTGCCAAGGGTGACGAACGTTTACCCCAGGATAAGTCCAATATATGACGTTGCCGCGCAAAGGCATTCCTTCTCTTCTTTTTTGTATTAAATATTCTCTCAATTCTGCCTCTTCTTGAGCGGTATAGGCGGCGCGGCCTTTTGGACTTCCGTAAGATTGAGAGTTGGCGTTATAGTTCATTTTACAATTTTGATAAAATTTTTTTGAATTGCACAGCGTAGTTTTCACTGGACAAATTTCCTTTTGGGGTAGTATCATGTGATATGGTATTCGATCTAACATTCACACGCAATATATCATCGTGATCAATGAGCAACAAATTAACATTCACACGCAATATATCATCGTGATCAATGAGTAACAAATTAACGCTCACACGCAATATGATCAATTGTTGTTAAGTCTGCATCCTTGGACGAACAGACAAAAATTGTCTTAGCATTAACATATTGAGGTTTCTTGTCATCTAACAATATACCAAATGTCTCGTTTATTCAAGAATCATAAAAATCGATCAGATCTGTACCACATTGCATATGTTAATATGCTAAAAAAAAGCCCGGAATAGTATAACGTTTTAATTTAGGGTGAGCGATTGACATTATATAATTTGTCTTTTCATGTTGTTTGAAAATAGACGGTATCAAGTAACTTTTTCTATATTTGATCGATAGGTTAGATTTTTTTTGCAGATTATCAAAAATAAAAAACTATCAACTTTGAACGATTTGAGAATGCAATACTCATACTACATTGATCTGAATCTATATATAAATTCAATCCATAGCGTAAAAGTTCAACTCTCTAAACCTAAAAATAGCGCCTATTAATAAAAATAAATAGAAACCAACCATAACTATAATTTCTAATCTTTTTTCATTCTTACATTCTTTTAATAGACAGTTTATACTGTCCCTCATCGCCCAACATCCCAACACCCAACTTCCCGACACGCCAACATCCCGACACCCAACTTCCCAAAATTCCAACCTCCCGACAACCCAGCATCCCGAAATCCAACATCCCGACAACTCAACAGCACGACAATCAAACATCCCGACAGCTCAACTTCCCGACAACCCAACTTCCCGACAAACTAGTCCATTATAGGGATCGACAACTAGCATTTATTAACATTTAAACATACTTTATTTTTAATTCGTTAATAGCTAACTGATTTATCATAAAAGGAATTGAACGTAAATTTTAATTACATATAATAGAAAGGTAAGGAAATTGAACGTAAATCTTATATAAAAGAATAAGATCATTATAAGGAAAGATTGTGCACAATTCCACGAAAAAAAATCTAACACTGAACGATTTGCTCGATCATTAATAACATTTATGATTCTTCCCTCTCTATCAATTATTGGCTTTTGTCGGGAAGTTGGCTTTGTCGGGAAGTTGGAATTGTCGGAATGTTGGATTTCGGGAAGTTGGGTTGTCGGAATGTTGGAATTTCGGGAGGTTGGGGTAGACCCGTCACTCATAATTATCATTTATTTTATTTAGGAACTGTTTCTTGCGACAATATGTGCGAATTCCAAATGGTCCTAACCCACATGCAACTTCTCCAATATTACCTCGAATTTGTTTTGATGTTTTAATAATATAATTTTCATGTCAATTTTCGATTTGATTGTTCGTTACGCATATCACTTTCTGAATTTTCCCCATATGCGGAAGAATTGTAAATATCAAGTATTCACAATTAAAGAATACCGAAATTATCGTAAATCACAAAATTTGCAAATCCATTCAATATCGTTGATTATAGAAATTGATGTGCTGTCAAAAGTGAAGAAAGTATTTCTTGCTCCCCTGTTTTGCTTCATTAATTATTTTGTATACAACCATTTAGCCTTTGGATTTTCTTCATCCAAGCCACTAGACATGTTTGATACGATCAGATATGAATGTCCTATGAAACAAAAAAAATGATACTGTTCTTCCTTTAAAGGGTGCATGTTATTTTTCCTGTACAGTAATACAAAGTCAAAACATAATGCCAGATAATTAAGAACACAATTCACAGAACTAATATATAAAAATTGTATGCTTGAATCAAAATATTTTAGATGTCACTATTGTCAAGTTTTTGCAATTACTGTCAAAATAATCCTGAACCAGTGAATTAGTCTTCGGCGGCACACTATGTTTACATCCGGAAATTTGACATTTGATTTGTCTTTCTCAACTTTCTCATCTTTTTCATCTTGCCCTCTTACTGCACCGATCAAGATTTCATTTGCTTGTATCCTGTAATCTTGAGCTTTTGGCTATCATTACTAATCTGCTTGAAAGAACTAAAAGAACATGAGTATGAAAATTCGGCTCATAAGCGTTCTGCAAAGCTCGCAAATTTTCCAATTGATTTTTTGTCTTTAAATATTTTTGGTGACATCTTACAAGAGGAAATGATGAAGGACCATTGTCAAACCTCTAAGAAACTGCATTTCTTATGTTTAAAGTGATATACTCTGAAGTTGAAATCAACTATTGTAACATTCACTATATGGAAAGAAGAGATAAATATTAAAAATCAACTGGAAGGATTATTAAGCTACAAAACATAGATACTAATTCTTTAGAGTCTTTATCATCTGGATCGGATATGTTATTTTGAGATTATCTGAATCAGATATGTCATTTCATCATGTTCGAAAGTACCATTCTGGACATATTAATAAAATCTGAATAGAATCAAACAGGGTTGAACAAGGGACTGGATCAATTATAATGCCAAAACAGAAGATGGTCCAACAAAGGAAAGAGTTTTAGTTTTAGAAAGATATGTCGAAACACAGAGGATTCTACACACGTGAAGACAGAGGATCACAGTGGCTTCACATATCTCCGCTAGTAACGCTTCTGAAGACGGAGGATCTTTCCCTGCATTCAAGACAGATGATGAACACAGAGAGAGCATTCCAACTTTTGTTCATTCTGTACAAAAAAATAGCGATATTAAAAAAGCACGAATAATGATTATATAGTTGCCAAAGGCTTTTTTGATAATTTCCGAATCTGTGCTGAAGGATGTTTTTATTAATGTTGGTTCACTAACAGCTAGGACGTCACGTTTTAAACTACCTAAACTACCTAAGTATTCCGAGATGATTTGAGACGCCAGGTTTCTCTAGGATTTTTATAAATGAACCCAAGTTATGCCTACCTTTTTAAAAGCCTCGCCTGACGATTCGACTTTGATTTCGCATTTAGAGCTTGACATTTTATTTGTGCGCTTCAAAAAAAAATTTATAAAAAATAAAAATATATCTTTCATGATACATAACTAATGTATTACTGTACATCCCATGGTTTTATGTAACACATTACTAGTTAAAATAATCTCAGGATTATCACAACATAGTCTTAATCATAGAAGTGCAATTCTAACGAGATATGGAACTTTTCTTTCAGGCCTTTGGAAAGTTTCTGCATTAACTACTTCTGTATATTCGGAAAGTCGGAAAGATTCAATTAGAGACATCAGTAAAAATGTTGAAAATGTACCAAACAAAATTAAAAAATCTACCAGATGCAAAGATTCTCTTAATGAGGTATTTTAGTTATAATTGTTTAGTGGATCTATATCCTTAATTTGGTGATCCAATCATTGTGAGACTTGAACGCGTTTCTCCATTATCATAACACCATAGACCTTTTATAAACGAGTATTTGTTGATTCGAAAATAATGGATACAATAAAGCATGTGTAGAGCCTATGGAGTATTTTAATACCTTTAGCGTGGAATGTCCACCCTGAGCGATTATACTCGATTATCTTTATTATATGCTCTTTGCCACGTCGACAAACTTCATTATAGAATTGTTTTTCAATTCAAGTATACGCAGATGGGATGTATCTTGAAATTCCCTTTGAGCGGAAAAATCTATTGGCCTGATAAAACATGTTATTATTAATAATAAAGGTCTAATTCAATTTAATAATAAAACAATTACCTCCGGTGCTGCAGCCAACAACCGAAATTTCGCATTAGTACCCAAGATCTTTTCTTTATATCTTTTACTAATGTTAAAATACCCAGAAGAAAAAATCACGGTCTATAACTCATTTTCATTCACTTTTTGCCGTCCATTTTTCTCGATCGAGTCTAACACGCCACGCAGAGTCGTCCGTTCATCTTGTCGGATGTTCAATGGAGACATTTGTGTTATAGGGAAGATAACCGTGTCGAATTCCGCGTTAATTTCACTTTGATGATGTCTTCTTGTTAATCAAGATCCAGAACTTGTTTAATTAATCAGTATTTATAACTAATAGAAGATAAAATAATAAGTTAATTATCATATAATTATGAAATAAATTTTAAATTTAAAATATTAATACAGAAATCTTTGCTAAAATTGAAATAAAATATTAAATAAATTCATTAAATATTATTATTTTGAAATCTGAACCAGTATTTAATAATAATACAGATATATTTGAGTTAATTAATATATATAAAAGATTTAAATAAATATTATTAATTTAGTATGTAATATAACTATGTTTATAAAAACTAAATTTTATATAAATGAAAACTTAACTTGATATTTATTTTTGAATAATGTTATATATCAAAGATTATATATAGTATTTTGATTACAATATTTATAATATGATAAATAAACTTATTATCCAATTTTTAATAAGTTAGAACAAAATATAAATTTTTATATAATTAGTAATATATTAAAATTAATACATATTGCTATAGTAATGACTATTCATTTTTATATATATAGATAATAATAATCTAATATTAAAAGAAGTAGTTGATAAAAATAATAATATTTTAAAAGTATAATATTACTATAGTAATATAAATTTCTTTAATTTCATAATTTTTTGAACTTGAGAAATTTGACTAAACATTAGATCTTTGAATAATATGTGATTTTGAATGATATAATTGGTATATCAGTTATGGATTCAATCATAATTCAACAATATTCTTGCAACATTTCTGCAATATTTTAGTAATATTTCAAGATTATGAATAAATAATTAGTCCTAAAATCAATAACAGTTCACAAATAGTTTAATATTAATTCATAAATACTTTAAAAATAGTTTAGTAACAAATTTAATTTATTTTTATTATTTATCTTTTTTTTTAGAATATTTATCTTATTATTTTATTTTATTTTATCATTTATTTTATTTTTTAATTTATCATATATATCTTATCTCTTTATTTTACATTTTTGTTTATTAATCTTTTGTCTCAAAGTTTATAATTATAATCTAAAGTAATAAATAAGTTTAGATAAAAACTTATAAAACTTCAAAGATATATAAATATCTCCATTCTGAGATCTGAAATAAATATACTTGAATAATAATAATTTAATTATCTTCTAAAAATACTTGAGTTATACTTATTTTGTAATTTTCTCTTAATTTTTGTCTTGATATCTTACTTTCATTTACCTCTTCTATTATAAGAGATTATATTCTGATTATTTATAAGTTTTTCTTGTCTGAAAAACTTAAATAGTGAATGCTCTTCACTTAAAATAAGTCAAGTATATTTATTTGATTTAAAAGATACTTATAAGCTTTAATATATATAAAAGCTTAGAATTAGTATTTGTTACTTCAATCTTTGCATTTATTATATTGATATTGATATTTGTTGTCTTAATTATAAATATTTATTACTTTAGTTTTTTGATACTAAATCTTAGTTTAGTTTTTGTAATTATAATCTTTTTTGTAATTATTTTTATTTTTGTTTTGTATTGATACAATACTCATAAATATTGGCATTAGAAAATCTTTAGAATAATTAAAATTCTCTTTATCTTTAGAAATAATTTAGTCTTTATTCTTAAAACTTATTATAAAGTATATTTGTAATAAAACCTATCTTTTAAAGTATAGTTTATAATAATATTATCAAAGCAAAAGTAATTTTATTGAAGAATTTAGAGAGTTTATCATATTCAAATTATTATATTAGACAAATTTCTCAATATATTATTATAAGAGTTCAAAAGTAAAGACTTTTATATAAAAATTTATAATGTAATTTATTTGAAAAGTAATAAAATTCTAAAAATATCCAGAAATTTCATGACAAAAAATAGTTTAATAATATTTAAGTAACTTTAGCTAAAAATTAAAGTTATTATAAATTAAATAAAGATGCTTGATATAAAAAGATAAATATAACTTGAAGAATAATAAAATATAATTTCAAATTTAATAATTTTGAATAAATTAATTTTTATTTTTTCTTTCAAAAAATATTGCTCTTTCTATCATTTTTTTAAGAATTAGTAAAGAATCTATTATTAATATAATATTATATCAAATAAGTCAGAAAAGTATAATTATTCTTATTTATATTATAATATGTAACAAAAAAACTATAATATGTAACAAAAAAAACCAGATATTTTAATTTTCTCTATAAATATTTATTTAAATACTTATCTTATTAAAATTTTTTTAATTTATGTTTCTAAACTTTAAAATTTTTAATAATAAGAAAACT